AGCCCCAGCTCATGTCACAAATATTTGGTTGTTCAAAAAATTCTAATCATAGTCACTTATGCTCAATTACTATGCAGCATAACAATAATTATGTCTATTATTTAATGTCAGAATTGCTTTCTAGAAAATTTTTACTGCAATGCAATTTAGCTCATGCATACTCAGGCTTCATGGTCTTGTTCATACCGCATGGTTATCCACCTATAATTTGAAAAAATTAAAGGAAATACTGCTCTATGATATTCTTCCTTGTTCCTGCCAGTCTCAAAGGTCTGTCACTTCTGCTAGTTAACTTGTGCTCATTCTCATCTTTATTCCATCTTCCGATGGACATTTCTCCTACATATGCCCTGCTTCAAAGGACCTCCCTCCATCAAATCTATACTGTACATTGTTGCCAAGTTATATTTCAATGGACATGTGATCTCATCCATGTTGATATGCACTACAATGGTACAGATCACAACTTATCTGTGATCCCTATCATGTGATTTTTGTGCATGTCCTCCCATAATCCTTCACAGATAAACTATACAAATACTTCTTCTAGGTCACTTAACATTTGATGAACATCAAAAGAAAGAAAGAGCAGGAAAACATAAAAGGCTCCTCCCAAAGAGAAAAAGATGAACTGCCTTAAAGGAGAAACAAGTGCTTGTACCATAGAAGCTGATAGTCAAAGATCATCCTGAAAGGGCAAGAGGAAAAAGAGTTAAGTAGTGGTGGTGGTTGATAGATCACTTCTAAGGGAAAACTAGGTCACATGAAATTTGCAGCTTCTACTCAGTTTTCCTACCTTCTGCCCTCTAAAGCCAAACAGAATACAATTCCAATCTTCTTCTACGTGACAACCTTTCAAATAACTGAAGACAGCTGTCATGTTCCATCTAAGTCCTATCTCCTTCAAGCTAAACATCCCCAGTCCTTAAAATTAGTCTCATATGGCATGGTCTCAAATCCCTTCACCATCCTGACTGCCTTCCTTTGTACGACGGAATCTAGTTTATCAATTTCATTCTTAAAATGTGATGCCCAGAACTGAACTTAATATTTCATATGTCATCTGCACGTGGTAGAGGTCAAGAGGAATATCACCTCCTTAATTCTATATTTAAAGAATTCCTTAATGTAATCCAACAATAACATTTTTGTCTGCCTTAACATTGCTGACTCAAATGGTTCACAGTCCACTAAAATGGAAAGGCTTATACTGAGCTTGCAGTCCACAAAAATGAACTTCTGGCCAGCCAAGTCTTCCCCAAGCCTTGTATTGTGAAACGAATTTATTAAAACCCAAATGAAAGACTTTTACATTAATACATATTACATTTCATCATAACATAATTAGCCTAAAATTTTAGCTTGTCTTACCTAAATCCAACATGTTAGCAATACCTTCTAGTTTTGTGTCTTGAGAAGCATTTATTCAAGACATCGATAAAAATGTTAAAATGGTACAAGCCCAGCATAGATCCCTGAGATAGTCCTACAGAGTCCTCCTTCTCAGTTGACACCAAATAATTAATGGAACTCTTTGGATCCAGACATTCAATAAGTTCCAAATTTAATAAACTATATTTTTCATGTAACCCACATCTTTTCATTTTTTCCAAAAGATTATTTCAGACAAGTACAGAAATAGCATTTAAAATATAATCTCCAGTAGAATTAGAACTTAATTTTTTTTTTGTCTTAGGTCAGAGAATTCTGAACTAAAAGTAATTACCACTATTTATATTGTACCTTAAGTACTATATAAATTAATGTGTAGAAATTATATTTCAATAGCAACTTTAAAAGTTGTTTCCCTTTCTACAACCCTATGAGATAAGTACTTTAAGTTGTGTTAACCCCATTTTCCAACTGCCATCCAGAGAAATTAAGTGATTTATCATATCACATAGGCAGTCAGTAGCAAAGTTGGAAAATAAAATGTTTTTCTCCAGGATGAGGAAGGCTGAAGTGCAGATCTGATTGTGGCACCATCCCTGACCCCCACTCAATAAACTCCAGGGGTTCCTTATTACCTCTACAATCAAATATAGAATCCTCAGAATTGGCATTGGGTACCTTTTGTGTGGTGTCTTTCCTCATTAGATAAGCTCCTTGAGTACAATTTTTACCTTTGTATCTCTGTGCTTTGCATATACTAATGAAGGCAGGAACTGTCTTTTTTTTTCTTATTTGTAACCTCAGTGCTTGGCATAGTACCTGGCATATAGCAGATGATTAATAAATGTTAAATGACTAAATCCCAAACATCTTTTTTTCACACCTGATCTTTCTTAACCTCACTACAGCTCCCAGAACTACTAATCACTCCCACCTTCTGAAAACTATACTCCATGGATATTTCTGACATGATTCCATTTTCCTCCTATATGTCTGTCTTGTAAGTCTCAGTATCACCTACTAGATCAATTAACTATGCCTCGCCCCCATTTGTGGGTTTGTTTCAAGGTTCTGCCCAGGGTACTCTATGCTTGTTTTCTTCATGATAACACCAATCAGGTCAAGTCCCATACCTCTTTATTACATGCTACATACAGTTGCAAAATTTCTTTTTCTAAAGCACAAGTCTAACCACAGCTCAGAACCACAGGTTTAACTTACCTCTTGAAAATTTCAAGGAACTTAAGAATACCTAGTGCTTCTAAGATAAAATGTAAACTTCTCTGTATTTAGTCTTTAAGGGCTTTTATATTTTGGCCTAACTTTCTAGGCCTGTTTCATATTAATCTCTAACGTATTTATCCATACAACCAAACTGGACTACTTGGGGCTCCCCATAGACAGTATCCCATTTCCCACTTCCATACCTTTCCACAGGCTTTCCCTCAGACCTAGAATCTTTTTTCTCCTCCCTGTTTTCTTGAAATTCTAAATGCCTTTTAAGACTTGGCTTCAGATTCAACTTATTATAACAGGTGATTGTGAATTATCTCCAGTTGCCAATAGCTTATATACATTTTGAACCACTCCTAGTACAACATAGACTTCCTAACAAAGACTGTCTCATTTTTTGTTTTTGTATCACTGCCTTGTGCTTGGCACATACTTGTGATAAATGCTTACCGAACTGTAGCATATCACGATTTGTGCCATTTATAGTTTCCCCTTTAAAAAAAAAAAGGCAGCTGACCAAAAGCTCAATTCTTAGAAGGGATTAGATAACTTAAAAAACTGATGAAGCCCTAGAGTCAGCAGGACCTGAGTTCAAAGCAAGCCCCAGACACTAGCTTTGTGACCCTGGGCAAGTCACTTAACCCCAAGTGCCTCAGAGGGGGGAAAAAAAACTCATAAAGCTTTCAAAAGGCATTTATTAAAAGCCTTCTATGAATTTAGTCAGAAGCAGTGATAACTAGGGTGACCTCAGAAATAGAAGGACCTGAGCTCATGCCCTGCTTTTAACACACAGTAGCTGAGTGACCCTGCAAAAGGCATTTAATCTCTCAAACCATAAAATGATTCTTTAGAAGAACAAAAAGACCAGGGACTACTAATGCACTGCTAATCTGCATCAGTAGGAGTAAGAGCCAAATTGAGAGTTCCTATACCACAGTGGTGAAATCAGAGGGTCTCTTGTGTCCCTCATACCAATAAACATAACAATAGCTAGGGCCATACACAGAGTCACTGTACCCAGGGAGTTAATAATCTGATTATGTCAAAAGCAGCAATTAAGAATACAAGTCAGTACATACTCAAGGGCTTACTGGTGTGGTAGAAATAAAGGGAAAGATGAGTATGGACAGGAGTTTCAACTCAATTCAATATGTATTAGGGGCAAGGTACTAAGCCAGGCAGAGAAAATACAAAGACATAAGAAATAGTTCAGTGAACCATTAAGGAGCTTACATTATTTTGGAAACACACAAAATATATACAAATTAGTAAAGAACAAGAAAAATAAGGAGAAGGGAGAAAACACTAACAGGAGAGATCAAGCAAAATTACACAGAGGAGGTAAACCCTGAGCTAGGATTTTAAAGAAAACAAACTTTCTAAGACAGTCATGAAAATTAAGGAAACATTTCAGGGGCGAAAGTATCATGATGGGAGTTGGTTCTAAGTTATGGAATCAATTAGTAGTCCAGTTCAGACAGAATGTAGAGTTTCTGAAGAGGAGTACTATCAAATAAGACTTGGAGGGGGGGGCACATGGCAGGAGAGGGGAGCTAGTGGAGGACCTAAAATGTCATACTAAGAAGTTTACATTTTATCCAACTGGCAACACCCACCACGAAAGGTATTTAAGCAGGAGAGTGGCATAGCGATAACTGTGCTTTAGAAAGACGATTTTGCTATGTGTGGAGGACTGAACGGAGAAGGAAGAACTTTGAAGTAGGCAGGCTAATTAAGAAAAGATTACAGGGGTAGCTCGGTGGCACAGTGGCACCAGCCCTGGAGTCAGGAGGACCTCAGTTCAAGTCCAGCCTCAGATCCTGGGCAAGTCACTTAACCCCGACTTGCCTTACCAAAAACAAAACAAAACAAAACAAAACAAAACCACAAACCCAAGACCCAGCGGATAGAGCACTGGCCCTGGTTTCAGGAGGACCTGAATTCAAAACTGGCCTTAGACACTTGACGCTTACTAGCTGACCGTGGGCAAGTCCCCCACTGTCTAGCCAAAAAAAAAAAAAAAAAAAAAAAACAACTAATACAGAAGTTTAAGTGAAACGTGGTGGCTTTGAAAGTGGAAAGAAGAGAACATGGAAGAGAAACTGTAGAATTAAGTTAAAAGATGAAATCTCAGCTGGGTCTTGAAGACTTAGAGCTATGGTAACAATATATTTTTAAGGACTTCTCAATCCTAAAGTTACATGACTACTACATTCAATAAATAATTTCTTCTCATAATACACACTCAATACAATTTGGTTGAAATGTTTTAAATTTTAAAACAAATTGCACTGATAAATTATTCTTGATTAGTTTAAATTCCAGTCCCCACTATATAGCAAACAATCTTGAAAGTGAGTATTTTTATCACTTACCAGTAACTACCATGCTGCTCATATTAGAGTTTGGGCTACTGAGTACACTGCCTGAAAGAAGTTCGTCAGATCCTCTCTATAAGGGGGGAAAAAGAGAGAGAGATTTTGGTATAAGTAACCTTTACATTTAAGATGTTAATTAATACTCTCACAGACAAGTTTTTCGTAGGGAATTACTTCAATCTTTAATCTCAGAATAGAATTGATATTTTTTAAAAAATTCCCAATCTCAAACTTCACCTTTTCTTCATATCCCTCTACAAGGTTATCAGAAATGCTTTTCTGTCTTATCTCCCTTTTCTTTCTCATGTCAACCTTCAGCTTTTCCCCATGCAAACATTTATACATAATATCAGCTTGAGAAACTAAAAGTGCTTGTAGCTCATGACCCAAAGACTTTAGGGAGCTTTTGTAGTACTTGAAAACACAAAGAAATAACAAGATTTTTCACTGAAGGCTCAGGGTGTATTTGGACCCTGCAAAATCCTCTCCACAGAAACTCCCAATATTTCACCCATTGCTCTTCAGACAACTGAATTTAAGTAACTACTGCGGGAAATTCATACTGGAGAATGCACTGTACCTTTTTATGTGCATAAAATATAATGCACATAAACATAGTACAATAAACATAGTAGAAAGAAACATTCTAAAGGCAAAATACAGGTCTATTTAGCAGCTTCCCTTGGTAGAAACCGAGCTGCATTTGGAATAGAGAAGACCTGTTTGAATCCCACCTCTAACTATTACTGGTTGTATGTACATCACAAACTTTCTAAACCTTAGTTTCTTCATCTGTAAAACAGGATTAAAAATACCTATAGCACCTACCTCACAGGGCTATTGTGAGGCTCAAATAAGAAAATGTATGTAAAATGCTTTGCAAACTTTAAAGCCCCTTATATAAATGTCAATTATTATTGTTACATTGAAAAATGTTTAGCAAATATTTTAGACGTCAATGAGATCTGAATCAATTTCACTGGTCAGTATGATAAATTGTGCATAAACTATTTTTCACTCACAGTAATGCCTATTTTGGGAAGAAAATGATTCAAAGTTATTTATGTACCAATCTTCCACAAAGTCCTACTTTACTGTCTCTTCATGTCATGATGACAATGTTGACTATGTCAGAGAAATGTATTGTGACAGGTTCTTGAGCAAGCTGAATTGGCTTTCACTGTTGTTCTGGCAACAACAGACTGCCTCTAATGGGTAAAGACTAGACCAGTTAACTAAAGAGAGAGAGGTTCATTTATAGGCTGGTTGCTAGATAGGTAATAAATTCTTTGACCTTTACAAAGAAAAACATCAAATGGCCTGTGTGGTACAAGGGCCACGGAAAAATCAGATGCAGAAGGAGCTACAAATTATACTTTTTAAACTGTTGATATTCCAATATGAGATCCTTGAACAATAAACAACAAGTAGTACTAGATAACACAATCATATAAATACTGACATCCTTATGAAATCAAGAAAATGGAAGTTATATAACTAGTTGTTGCTAGAGTAAGGGACAGATCACATATAAGGTAAGTTGCAGCTGAATTTATCATGATACTAATAAGTTAAAAAGATTGATTTAATCTTCAAGTAATAAATATAATCACACAAAAAAAGGTTTTCTCTTTTATATTTCAAGAACACTTGAATGATTTTTACATATGGGGGGGGCCTTGCTGGATTAGAACCCTTGTTATGGCATTTCACTCTACCCAATCAAATGGTTTTTCACTATCAACAAACAAGTATAGTGAGATCTTGAATACTCTTTGTATTATTCAGTCAACTGTGTCATAGATGTGGTTCATTGGGGTACAGTGCTTGAGAAAGAAAGCCTGCCTATTCACATCTAGCTGCCATTCTCAAGTCTACGGTCCTGGCAAAAGAGGACCAGCCACTGTATGCATAGAGACGCTTAACATCAACAAACTGGTTGATGACTTTACGATGAACTAACTGTTCAGTTGTGGTAATGCATTAAACAAAACAAAACAAACAACAACAACAAAAACAAAACAGTAAATGTTTCTTAGTCCTGTCTTGACCTCCTTTTTGCTTCTTCAATGACAGTGGTGGGAAATGGGGACAGAGTACTAAAAATCATACAGTTTTTATATCATCCATAAAAATTACCATTAAAAAAAACAACAAAAAAATAGTTTGGTTTTTTTTTTGTTTTCAACATTTACTTCCGGGGCAGCTAGGTGGTGCAGTGGATAGAGCACCGGCCCTGAAGTCAGGAAGACCTGAGTTCAAATCTCGCCTCAGACCGAACACTTGACACATACTAGCTGTGTGACCTTGGGCAAATCACTTAACCCCGATTACTTCACCAAAAACAAAACAAAACAAAACCAAAAAAAAAAAAAACCCAAAACATTTACTTGCACAAGATTTTGAGTTCCAAATTTTCACCCCATCTTGCCCCTCCCCCACCCCAAGATGGCATGCATTCTGAATACCCCTTCCCCTAGTCTGCCTTCCCTTCTATCTCTCCCCCACTTCTCTTATCCCCTTCCCCTTCAATTTTCCTGTAGGGCAGGATGGATTTCTGTACCCCATTTCCTGTATTTCTTTCCCAGTTGCATGGGAAAACATTTTTTTTAAACAAGTGTTTTTAAAATTTTGGGTTCCAAATTTTCTCCCTTCCTCCCTCCCCACCCACTCTCATTGATAAGGCAAGCAACTAAATATAGGCTTTATATGTGCAGTTATGCAAAACACTTCCATAGAAGACATACTGTGAAAAACTAACTCTATTTCCCTTAATCCTATCCTGCCCCCCCATTTATTCTATTGTTTCTTTTGACCCTGTCCCTCCTCAGAAGTATTTGCTTCTGATTGCCCCCTTTCCCAATCTGCCCTCCTATCATTCCCCTACTCTCTTGTCCCCTTCCTCCCCGCTATTTTCCTGTAGGGTAAGACAGATTTCCATACCCAATTGAGAGTGTATGTTATTCCCTCCTTAAGTCAAATCCTATGAGAATAAGATTTCACTCATTCCCTCTCACCTTCCCCTGTTTCCCCTCCACTGTAAGAGCCTTTTGTTTTTTTTTTTGTGAGATAATTTACCCCATTCTACCTCTCCCTTTCTCCTTCTCCTAGTATAATCCTCTCTCATCCCTTAATTTTATTCTCCAGATATGACCCCTTCATTTTCAACTCATCCTGTACCCTCTATCTACATCTATATATATATATGTACATATAACTTTTTCCCCTCCAACTACCCTAATACTGAAAAAGGTCTCATGAGTTACAAATGTCATCTTTCCATGTAGGAATGTAAACAGTTCAACCTTAATAAGTCTCGTATGATTTTCTCTTTCCTGTTTACCTCTTCATGTTCCACTTGAGTCTTGTATTTGAAAATCAAATTTTCTATTCAGCTCTGGTCTTTTCATCAAAAATGCTTGAAAGTCCTCTATTTCACTGAATGACCATTTTTTCCCCTGAAGGATTATACTCAGTTTTGCTGGGTAGGTGATTCTTGGTTGTAATCCTATCTCCTTTGACCTCCAGAATATTATATTCCATGCCCTTCGGTCCCTTAATGTAGAAGCAGCTAAATCTTGTGTTATCCTGATTGTGTTTCCACAATACTTGAACTGTTTCTTTCTGGCTGCTTGCAATATTTTCTCCTTGACCTGGGAACTCTGGAATTTGGCTACAATATTCCTAGGAATTTTCTTTTGAGGATCTATTTCAGGAGGAGATTGGTGGATTCTTTCCATTTCTATTTTGCCCTCTGGTTCTAAAATATCAGGACAGTTTTCCTGGATAATTTCTTGAAAGATGATGTCTAGGCTCTTTTTTTGATCATGGCTTTCAGATAGTCCAATAATTTTTAAATTCTCTCTCCTGGATCTATTTTCCAGGTCAGTTGTTTTTCCAATGAGATATTTCACATTGTTTTCTAATTTTTCATTCTTTTGGATTTGTTTTACAGTATCTTGATTTCTCATAAAGTCACTAGCTTCCAATTGCTCTATTCTAATTTTTAAGGAAGTATTTTCTTCAGTAATCTTTTGGACTTCCTTTTCCATTTGGCCAATTTTGCTTTTTAGGGCAATCTTCTCCTTGTTGGCTTTTTGGACCTCTTTTGCCATTTGAATTAGGCTATTTTTTAAGGTGTTATTTTCTTCAGTATTTTTTGAGTCTCCTTTAGCAAGCTGTTGACTTGTTTTTCATGATTTTCTTGGATCACTCTCAGTTTTTCCTCTAATTCTCTTACTTGCTTCTCAAAATCCCTTTTGAGCTCTTCCAAGGCCTGGGACTGATTCATATTTTTCTTGGAGGCTTTGGATGTAGGAACTTTGGCTTTGTTGTCTTCTGATTGTATGTTTTGCTTCTCTTTGTCACCAAAGTAAGATAATATAGTCTCACTCTTTTTGCACTGCTTACTCACGGCCAATTACTTGAGTTTTAAACTCTTCATTAAGGTAAAAGTCTTCTTCCAATGTGGAGAATGTACTGTCCCATGCTTTGGGAGTTTGTACAACTGTTTTCAGAGATACTTCTAGGGATCTGAAAATTTTCAGTTCTTCCAAGGTGCTATGATCAAGGACGAGGTGTTTTCTCTTCACTGCCACAACAAGCTCCATCACACCAGCGTTCCTCCTCACCTCAGGACCACCCTTCAGAACTGTGACCCAGATCCATGCACCAGTAAAGCAAGAGATTCCTGCCTCAGCACTGGCAAAGAGAACCCTGCAATCCCCCTCTGATCAGCCACTTGATTCCCCCTCAGTCTGTGGGCCGGAAGCTCAGGAACCAGCCATGGCCCCTGGCCACGCTCAAGACGTGCAGCTGAGACCTAGCTCCTGTCTCACCACAGTCACAGACTTTTCCCACTGACCTTCGAAGTTGTCTTTGGTGTTCATGGGTTGAGAAGTCTGGAAACCACCACAGATGCCTGTGATTCAGTCCTCTGAGCCCTGCTTCAGGGTCGCTGTGGTCTGCGGGCCCACACAGAACTGCGCTCTCTCCCCACCCGGCATGATATACCTTTCTGATCAACCATCCAGGTTGTCTTTGGCTGGAAATTTGTTTCACTCTGTCTTTTTA